GGGCCTGCCACTCCACTGTCCCCTGTGAGCAGACCCAGCTCCCTCTGTGGGGGCCTGTCACTCCACTGTGCCCTGTGAGCAGACCCAGCTCCCTCTGTGGGGGCCTGCCACTCCACTGTGCCCTGTGAGCAGACCCAGCTCCCACTGTGGGCGCCTTCCACTCCACTGTCCCCTGTGAGCAGACCCAGCTCCCTCTGTGGAGGCCTGCCACTCCACTGTCCCCTCCCCAGCTCACCAGAACACAGTACTCTTTGCCTGGCTCAGAGGATGCAGCGCTGATGTCGGCCAGTCTGGCTATGCCCAGGGAGCGGAAGAAGCTGGTCTGGCAATCCTCGTGGCATGTGAAGAGGCAGTCATCGGTGACCACCAGGCAGCAGGGGATACAGGGGCTGGGCGCGACCCCCTGGGGGATGACCTGGGAGGGCGTCAGCAGAGGGTCAGGGGTGAGGCCGGTGGTCTATCTGGGGCCAATTTGAAAAGTCTCCCAGCCCTGCTAGAGGCCTCATGAGTTTAGGGGTGACGGTGGGGATGGGCCAGGTGGCAGGGAGACCTGAGCCCCAGGGTCAGTTTTGGCCCCAGAAGTCCCCTGTCTTGGCCCTCACTGGATGCCCCTGACTGGGTCTGGGGAAGCAGCCCCGGGATCCTGGCTGGGGCGGTGGGAAGTGGGGAGGAACTCACCCCCTTGGACACGGCCTGGCAGAGGTGCTGCATCCAGTCGGCCATCTCGGCCTCGCTGTCAGCGCTGAGCTCCAGGCAGGGCCGGTCAGTGAGGATGACCTGGAAGGCGTGGGGCCGATCCGTGGTGTTGGACCTCCTACAGCCACCGCACTGCTCCCCCCTGGGCCAGAGGAGGAGGGTGAGATGTGGGGCTAGGGGCAGGCTGGCATGGAGTGAAAGGCCTGAGATTGGCTCAAGGTGGGGAAACAGCAGGGATGCCCCTTCCCAAAGGCTGCCCAGACCCCTGGGCTCTCAGGAAAGGTTTAAAGATGCTCCAGAGCTCCACTCTGTATGCAGGACAAGGTATTTAAGCATGGCCATGCAAGAAGGTGCGGCCAGCTCTTAGCTCTAACCCTTGAGGCACGTACTCGTTCAGGGTCCCTCTTAAGGGCCCTGTTAGATTATCTAAGTTTGTGTATCTCTGCCCCCCATCTCATTAGGCACTGCCGGGAACACCCAGAGTTCAGCCAAATCCAGGGCTGCCAGATAGGCAGGGCTGAAGGTGGTGGCGGTGGCTGTGTGCCATGGAGTCAGTTCCGACTCATAGTGACCCTGCACAGGGTTTCTGAGACTGTAAATCTTTACAGAAGCAGAACGCCTCATCTTTCTCCCGTGGAACAGCTGGTAGTTTCAAATGGCTGACCTTGCGGTTCACAACCCGATTCGTAACCACTACGCTACCAGAGCTCTTTAGGGCTGAAGGAGAGAGGTTGATTTGACAAGGGGGAGCACCATTTCCAAATGGAGAAATGGGAGCGTGGGGCTGGGCACCTCTGGAATCTTGGCCTTGGGCAGCACACTGGGCCCAACGCTCGCCTGTAGCTTACCCCATAGTCACCGAGAGCAGAGGGATGACATCAGTGCGGTCTGGATACTGGTAGAGGATTCCGTTGCTGCAGGGGCCAACACAGCAGAATGAGACCTTTCCAGCAATGGGGGCCTAAGCAAAGCCCAGGTCCCAGAGGCGCCCCCATAACCTCAGAGGCCAAGGAAGGGAGGAGCCTGTTTTCTATGAAGTGACGTAAAGGAAGACTCACAGATGACGGAGGGGAAAGCTGCTCCCTCAGCAGACTCCCTCTGGCCCTGGGGATAGCTAGAGGTGTGTCTAGTGGGGCCCTGCCCAGGTCTTCACCTGGGGTACTCTGGGGTTCCTTGGGTCCCACAGATGGCTGGCTCTCCAGAGAAGCTCCAATATTGTGGGGGATGTCTATTCCTAGCCTCCTAGATTCCTCCCCAGGGTCTCTCTGCTCAGTGACCTGTGGCAGAGGTCCCTATTGGGGACTTGACTACTCCTCAACCCTGGGGCTTGAGCTGGAGGCCTGGAGCTTTGGGGACTCCCACCTGAGTACCATGAAGCAGGTTTTCCACTGTTCCTTGCCCAGGTAGGAGGTACCGGCCTTGTAATGCAGCATGCCTTCTTTGGTGATGGTGCCCTCGGGGGGTGAGCAGTGGCAGGGGACTGGGCCCAAGGACTCCTCTGTGGGGTCTTCCCAGTGCACAAGCCCGTAGAAGCGAACAGTAACATCGGACGCCTGGGGTCAGGGCAGTGGGCAGAGCAGTGAGGCCTGGGCCAGGCAGGTAGCTGAGTCAGGGCCCAGCTGACTGACAGCCTAGGATTAGGGGATCAGGTGTAGCCACTGAGAAAGCAAGGCTGTTTTAGCTTCAAGGACAAAGCCCTGGGAGTGGGGATAAGATTTGGAATTGGAGAACCCTCCCAGGTGGGTGACTGAGAATACAAGAGTCTTTTTGAACTACCTAATGCCAACACTACTGGTGTGGCACTGTAAGATAAGCAATGGACTGCTAACTGAAAGATCAAACGTTCAAACCCACCAGCTGCTCCTCAGAAACCCTTTACAGGGTTGCTATGAGTTGGAACTGACTTGATGGCACTTAATAGGAATAAATAAGGCTAATATCGGGGTTGGTCAGAAGAGCACCGGATCTCAGGGACTGGGCCCTTCCTCCCAGGTTCCTACCTCACACTTAGATTCCTGGGCCACAAACTTGGCAAGGGCCAGCTTCTCCATGGTGGCATCGGTCAGGATGCTGGGGTAGGGTGCTTCCCGACAGCCTTTGATCATGGCTGACTTCAAAGAAGCCAAGAAGAATCTACATGGGGGTGGGGTTTGCTGTCAGAGGCCTGGGGAGTCGCCACACCACCCTCTACCGGACAGGGCTCAGACCCCAGGATTCCTGATTTGGAAGGGCCACAGAGACTTGAAAGTCAAGACTCAAGGTGGGTGGGGTCCAAGGTGGTGGTCCAAGGCCATCAAATGTTGGCCTTGAAAAGGCCTACCTAGTCCCAGTGGTGGTTTTTGATACTGAGAAGAGGCTGGATGAGGCGGTGACCATTAGGTCTTCTACAATAAGACCACAATCCGGGCCTTCCCAGCACAGCGTGATCTCGTATGTAATTTTCACTGAGAGTGCACTGAGGCCCAGCAGTCCTGCTGGGTAAATCTTTGGGTCATGGAGGGTCTGAGCTCACTGGGATCAACCACAGTGGCAGTGTGACTGGTCGCTCTCCAGACTGCTGGTTCCAGAGGAAACAAAGCTGGCTTTTTCACTCCCACTTCCTACCCCAACCCTGATGGTGGGGGTCCAGCCACTCACTCAGCCAGGGTCACGTCAGCTGTGTCCAGAAGAAACTGCTTCCTGCGGTTGGTGCACACCAGCTTCACTGTCTGCTGGTCGAGGCCGACCTGCCAGATACCACATGTTCACATGCAGCTCTGGCCACTTGCCCGCAGGAGGCGGCCACGCCCAGGTGGGAGCTGGATGGGGGCATGGGAGGGAAGATACAGACCCAGGGGTCTTGGGAAGTAAAGTCTGGGGCCCTGGCTAGAGTTAGGGAGGGAGGGAGGGATCAGAAACAGTGTCAAGGAAGTGACCTCCTCAAGCTTGGTCTTATCCCCCAGCACCATGCAGACGCTTCTCGGAGAGAAAAGCTGGCATTCGTTTTGGGGGCAAAGTCGGGCACGTGCCTGCCGTGGTCTGCAGGTCAGCCTGGCCAACCCAAGGAGCCCTGCCCTTCACAAGTGTGGCACCTGAACTCACCGACACATAGTCAAGCTCATTGTAAGACACGGCCTCTTCCACCAGATATGGCTTCTCTGTGGCCCCTGAGGGAGGAGACCCCAATGCTTATGACTCCCAAACAGCCTCTTGTCCTTCCCCCACCCCAGGTTCTCAGCAAGGACCCTCCTGTCCCTGCAAGCTGAGAGGACCAGGTAGGAGACTGGCATGGAGGGGGGCCCCCGCAGCCTCATGCCTTGGGCTGTGGGGACCAGCAACACCTTCCATTAAGTGTCTCAGTTACCACACACAGGCAGCTGGGAGAGGGGCAGCAGACAGTGTCATTTTACAACCTGTTCTCAGCAGGTGTCCTGGCCTGCCCGGGGGCCACAGGTACCTTTGCGGAGCAGATAGATGGAGCAGTCTGTGAGCAGCACATACAGCAGCTGTAGATTGCCCTCCATGTGTCCGGTGCTCATCCGGATCATCTGGTGACCAAAGCTGACGCTGGTCAGGGACTGGGACTCCCGGCCCTGGCCAGTGGGTCATCCCACCCCTGCCGCGTTTCCTCTCTCGCTCATTCTTGAGCTCCTTGGGACTTACTTTGAACAGCTGCTCTTCGTTTTCTCGAAACACGTGAATCATCAGCAGGAGCAGGTGATTGTTGTCCACTCTGTGGGGGGGACAGGTGTGGGGTGGGCTGCTCGGGCATCAGGTGGGAGAAGCCAGGAGCCTCCCACCAGGAGCCCGGTCAGTCTCTCAACCCGGGAGAGGGCTTCATTTGTGCTTAACTTATTGGAGTTCAGAGGCGCAGTGTTCCCAGCTCCTAGACCCGGGCACTGCCCGACCAGCTGCACAGACACCCTGCTCACCTGAACTCTGACGAGTGGAGCAACTCCAAAGGGCTCCCCTGCCCCTCATCCACCCCGGAGTCTTCTGCACTACTCAGACCCGGGCTGGGCTGCTCTTGCTTGACCTGGCAGAGGGCCTCCTGGGTCCCAGGCTCCGGCTCAGGCACCAGCCCCTCACTGACCAGTGGCAAGTGGGCCTCCAGTTCCTGAGCCTCTGGCTCCCGAGCCTCCACTTGGCTGTCCTCTAGGGGTCCGGGCGCCTGTCCCTCTCCTCTTCTTCCTCCCTCCTCTTCTTGGCCAACAGCCGCAGGGCTACCAGGAACATGTAGCGGTTGGCCAGGCCCTGCAGGGTCATGGTGGCCACCACCTGATGCAACAGTGCTTGGACTCTCAACGGTAAAGCGGTAGAAGTCCATGGGGGCTGGAAGCCCCTCACTAAAGTCGCAAAATGGTGGGTTCTCCGGGGCGTCCCCGGGAGAGCCGGTCCGAAAGGACTGGTCCGGGGGCTGTGGGTGGGAATGCCAGGTGCTGGGGTCCAGCTGCCCATTAAGCTGGTCAATGACCTTGCTCAGAGGCTGTCCCACGCGCTCCATGGAGGTATCCTTCATTGCGGGGATGAGGAGGCCCATGTGGCCGAGAGTCGACTCGCTGCTCACAGCTGTGCTGCTGGACCCCCTGCCCTCCTCTGGAGGCAAGGCCAGGGTGGCATCTGGTGAGTCCTGCCTGAGGCCTGCATCATCCTCGTGCCTGGTGCACGTCTGCTGGGCAGAGGCTGGGTGAAGGGGACTTGCTTCCTCATCTGATTTGGTTTTCTTCTTCTTGCCAGTTCTCTTCTTCTTGGTGACCCTGGGACAAGAGTGATAAGAATACTGAGGCACCAGAGGAAGTCAGGCAGGGTGGGTCCGAGAGATGAGCACAGCCAGAGCACCGGTGGCCCTGGGGGCAACACGAGGGAGCCACAGATGGAGGCACCAGAGGGGCACCAGAACAGGTCCTACGGAACTCCAGCTCATGGAACAACTCAAAAGCATGCCGGGGCTGGTCAGGACAATAGCCTGTCCACTCAACCTTTCCCTAAGCTGACCTTGTTTTCCATTCCTTATCATCATGGGTACATCACCCAGAAATATACTCTTCGGGGCTCAAATGCCTACCCCACGTTCTTTGTTTCAAGTTCGCAGCAGTGGGCTTGGCTGAGCTCACCAGGCCGGAAGCCACTAGGCTGCTCTGCATTGGAACCAGCCTGTGAGAGTGGGGCTCCTGGCTTCAGTCCTGGGGAGCTCCCTCTCCTACCACTGGGCCAGCACGCACCCAAGAAACTCACAGTGCAAATCGGCCTTCCGTCTCAAGAGCTGAGAGGAGGGGAGGCAGGCGATCCCAGACGACTCTTGAGTCCAGGGCCCCCTTGACTTTCACCTCTTCCCTTCCTCCCATGGCCTGCTGACAGGGCAAAGAGTCTATTTCTTTAAAGGATCCAGCAGAACAAGGATTAGTCCAAACCACAGACACTTGTGCCCTAACGTCTCAGTATTCCCTTGGAAAAAAGGCTAGCCTGGAGAGGGCTTTCTGGTCCTGGATGGACAGATGTCCCTGGACGTGGGTCCTGGAACCAGCCGTGGTTGCTGCCTATGTCGCCTGTCCCAGGGCTGTGGCTAAAGAAGCACTTCTTAGAGGAGGACCCCTGGTTACTGCCCTCAGGGGCATCCCCTCACTGACCTGATGACTTCCAGCTGGGTGCAGGCCTCTGGCAGGTCCAGAGAGGCTGTGTGCACAGGGGTGGTGTCAGAGGAGGACACGCCCTCTCCCTGGTCCTCAGGGAAGTGGCTGTAGTGCTGGCTGGGACTCTTGGTGGAAGCTTTGCTGGTCAGGTCTGAGGCCGTGGAGCGGGGGCCACTGACCGTGTCTGTGAGGTCTCCGTCTGGGAGAACAAGAACACGAGAGCCAGCCCATCAGACACCATCTAGCCCCCTGGTCCCCCTAAGTTATCTCGGGGGGAGACAGGTGGCCTGGTTTTAAGAGCGGAAGCCTCACCAGACAGGAAGTTGGGTTGTGCTTTAAGACCAACTTGGAGAACCCACAACATCACCACCACTGGGGGTCCTGGAGTGTGCACAACAATCTGGAGGAGTTTGTGTTAAGAGCCCCGGGGTTTAAATAGTCTCTAGGCTGAGCCCCTTAGATATGGTGACTGTGACGCTGCCAAGGGGAGTCGGGAGTCAGGAAGAGAAAATGGCCACACATTCTCAGTAAACCCGAGAGCCTGCCCGTCAGAGGGGTACCCGGCAGCCCCCTAGCCCCACAGGACCTGGCAGGGCTGAGAGACCCCTAAAGGCTCCTGGGGAAGGGTCTCATGCAGAGGTAAATAAAGAAGAGCTCAAAGGAAGCAGAGAACAGAAGAAAGAGAAGAGGGGTCTAAGGAGGTGAGGGGTCCAGAGTGGGTCTAAGAGGCTGGGAGCCAAGGGGTGAAGAGCATGGGAACGGACAGACACAGGGCATGAGGATGGAATGAGATGACATGACAGAGGCAGCAGAGAGAGATGCAGAGGGGAGAAGAAAGCGGCACCCAGTGGGCCTTTCAGAGGTGACTCTTCTCCCTGACGTTCCACTGACACCCCTCTAAGGGGGGGAGGGTGCAGACAGTTCAGTTTTATTCTATCCTCAGCTTGCGTGGTCGTCCCTGGGTCACGCTCTCCCCCTGGCTCCATCCTTGGGAGAAGACAAGAGAGATGGGGGTGGAAGGGACTGCCTGTCCAGAGAGGAGCTAGTTGAGCTACTTTGTACTCCCCACCATTCATCTCCCGACCCAGAAGCGGGCAGGGAGAGGTGGAGGGTTGACTAGGAAAGCAGCCAGAGCATTTCTCCGGTGGTGTATGGGCAATATCCCAGCTGAGAGCTGAAGCCCAGCTGGTGGGACAGCCGCAGTGATGACTAATGGCAAGGGACACAGGATGTTTATGCTCCATTTGCCAGTTTACACACATCTTGCTGACCATGATCTTCCCAGAGGAGACAGAGCAAACATGCTTCCTACAGCCCTGGTCAGAAGGCCCCGATCTGCTGTCCACTTCTACGTGGGCCTTAGCAACCACTGGGCAGCTATCAGCTGATGTAGCATATTGCCCTCTTTAAGAAATATATTGCCATTAAGAAAATTGGTTGTTGTTGAGAATGTACACAACAGAACAGACTTCAATTTGACAATTTCTACATATACAATTCAGTGACACTGATCAGGGTCCACAAGATGTGCCAACATTCTCTCTCCTTTTCTGATTTGTTCCTCCCCCGCCGTTAACCTAAACTCACTGGTCTCCTAAGGCAACTGCTAGCTTTGCTAGAAACCACTCCAGCCATATGTGAAACTTTCATTAGCTGGCCTGGTACCCCAGAGCCTTAGTTCTCAGATGTAAGTAACTGCCCTTTGGCCCCAAGGTGGTGGTGGTGGTGGTATCCTGTTGAGTCGGTTCTGACTCATAGCGATTCTGAGGTTGTAAACTTTGTGGGAGCAGAAAGTCTCATCTTCCTACCACGGCACAACTGGTAGATTTGAACTGCTGACCTTGTGGTTAGCAGCCCAGCTTATGATCTACTGTGCGACCTAAACAGCCCTCTGTTCTTGTCCAGCCTGCGGTTCTCCTCAGCATTTGCAGATGCTCATGGGGAAAGGGTCCTGAGAGGTACGTGAGCTGGGTGACATGGGTGTCAAGGCTAGGACACTTGTTCTGAAATAAGTCAAGGACCGTGGAAAGGTGACCCCAATTCCCTCCCCTTTGAGACCTGAGTCGGGGGCTGCCCCCAAACTCTGCCTTGCTCCAGGTCCAAAGAGAAGATGACAAAGCCTTTCCAGATGAGCCATCAGAGAGTGCTCAGAAAGTCTCCGGAGCTCGGGGAACGGGCAAGCAGGAGACCTCTGTGGGGTCATAGTTCACCCTGCCCCATGGCTCAGTCCTGCGCCGAGCAAGCAGCGCAACGTGGTCTGCTGGTTCTCAGCCCACAGTGAGCTCTGGAGGCTGGCAGAGGGAGCTCAGGCCTGCTTGTCAAGTGCAGGCCTTGCAACAGGCAGGAAGTAGCTGGGTCAGAAGGAGGGTTAGTTGTTAGACTTGGGGGTGCGGGGGAGAGACACAACACCCAGCATGTATTCTGTAAGGAGAGAGGCTAAGAGAATAAATGATGGAATTCTGGGTTTCAAGCCAATCTGCAAGTGGGATTCTTCAACGCTCTGCTCTTGGCTGGACTGGCCCTATCTTGTTTCCCTAAATTATTTCATACTCACAGGGCTTGGGGAAAGATCACCTGTTATCCACTACTCAGGGCCACTCATCCCCACTCTACCCCCAGGGTGAGATGGCCAGCACCTCCCCCTTCATGAGGCTGGGCCCCCAGCTGAAAGTAGCCCACAGGGTAAGGGGGATCTGGTGACGGCCTCAGAATTACAGTGGAAGCATTAACCTCAGGTGAATTGTGGGAACCTGGTAAACAGCTCTGGAAATGTGCCCAAGAAGTAGACAGAATGACATGTGGACAAATTCGATTATAATCTACCTTAAACTTTCAAATGCTCCCTGTTGGGCATTTCCGTTATGCCTGAACAACTTCCCTCAGTTGGACCCTGGTCTCTTTCAAAAATACTGGAGAAGAAACCATCTTGAATGAACTGAAAGAACCAAGCCCTGTCTTTGCTCCTTGATGCTTTTGGCATGAAAGCTTGTCTGACCTAAAGGTGCTTACCGCCCACATGGTAAAGCTATCATTTTCCAGAACAAATCTTGTTGCCTGGGTCAGGCTACTAGGGTACGTGCCAAGTGAGTCCCACGTTAGCAGTTCCCTACCCACCTCCACTGCACCCACTGGCATTAGCATTAAGGTGATGTGTATGCCCCTGGTGGCAGCCAATCAGTGCCTCCACAATACCACTGAGGAAAGGCAACTGTCCTACACTGGGAGAGGGGACTCGCCTGGAACTAAACTCAGGTACTTGCTCCTACTGCAGAATTCCATCGCTCAGCTTGGTTAGGATCACTGGCATTATGATAAATAACAAGGAGCTGATTCTGAGACATGCAGCAAGCTTGGCATGGAAACGTCGCAAAACAGGCAAAGAGGGTAAACAGCAGACTCTGTCCCACCTTCCCAGTCTGTGCTGGGTACAGACGGCACTGCTGGAAACACATCTCCAAAATCATAATCTATAAAAACGAGGGACAAAACTGAAGATTAGAAACACAGGCAGTGGAAGGCCAGGGAGGGTGGGGGCAATGGGGTGGGAAACATGGGGAGAGGACGAGAGGAAAAATTTCAACTTTCTACATTTTACTGAACAAACTCAGGAGAGCAGATTAGGATGGTAGATGGCCTCAGGTCAGGAACTGGTCCAGGAGCCTCTGGTCAGCTATCAAGACCTCTGAGGTAATCCGTTTCTAAATCCTTTTCTTCTGGAGAAGAACCTCAGCTGCCTTATACCTAACCCTGTTTTCTACCCTTTTCTTCCCTCCCTCTGTACCCCAGCATGGTCATACAGCCCTGCTCAGCAGCTCCACTTGTAGAATCTCTAAATTTGGGGGTGGGGGCGTGCGGAGCTCCAAGGGACCTCTCTGTATCCCTGGGCAGACTGGCTGCTCCTTCAAGGCCCAACCCAAGGTGACAGCTGCCATTTTCAGCTTGTACCATGAGTTTAAACAAGTCCGAAAGTGATTCTTTCCCCAGAACATCTGGCCCGTGGCACAAACAGAAACAAAGAAAGAGGAAGGTCAAGGTAGGTCTCAGTGCTGAGGCAATTCTGGGGAATCCCAGGGGCTGAACTTGGCTTGGATCCCCATCTCTAGAGGTGAGATTGGGTACAGTAAATGATGGCATCTGCTTTTCCACATGGGATGAAGATGAGGAAGCAGTTTTACAAGTGAACATGAGGCCTAAGGTTTGAAAGAAACCACCCTGTGCCAATAAGCAGCTTGTCAACCCAACACAATGAGCTACAGATTTGCTAACATTGCTGTATGGGTCCCGAGGAGGCAATGGGTGGTCATCCCCAACACGTGAGCAAGTACAGGGGGCGCTCTGAGAAACTGGACAGACATAAGAGAAACTGTTGCAAGTTTCCCCCTAAACCTATGACCTGCCTGGCACTGTTTTCTCAGAGTTGCCAATCCTCTTTTTGCCAAGAATCTAGGACAGGACAACCTTCCCAAAGCAGGCAACACCCACATCTGCACAATGCTAATCTTTTCTTACTCAGAAATCTGCCCCTGGGCACATGACCATAGCCTTCTGGAAAAGGGTCTCTTGTTGGTCGCTACCATGAGTGGGCCCTCTGACTCATGGCCACCCCCTGCACAGTAGGACCAGACTATTGCGCTCCACAGGGTTTTTACCGATTGACTTTTGGAAATAGTCAGGTCTTTGTTCCTAGTAACGTGTAAGCCTCCACTAACAGACAAAAGTTGATGTACATGATAAAGTATCCAGGAATTGAACCTGGATCTCCCACATAGAAGGCGAGAATTCTACTTCTGAACCACCACTGCCCTGGAAACTGTATAACACTCATAAAAGATCCCTTTGGCCAGTTGTCCCCCAAATCAATCCTTTAGCCACCACAAGGATACTGACGAAATGAAGACCCAGGAGACGGCGTCCTCTGTTTAACTTCAAAGGTCAACCAGTGAATATGAACAAACCAAGGGAGCCGGCCTTCTTCTTTATTAAATGCGGTTGAGTCGGTTCCGACTCACAATGACCCTGTTTATGGTTTCTGGGAAATAGCTGGTGGGTTTGAACTGCCGACCTTGTGGTTAGCAGTTCAGTGCATATCCTACTGCGCCACACCAGGAGCCTGACTTATGCAGCTCCAAAAGCAGCGGCGCAGCTCATTCTGCCCCTGGGGACTCACCCTCACTGGATGGGGCAATTGCACTGTCGTCCCACTCCAGGTTGGTGGATGTGACGGAGTTGAAGGAGTTGAGAGAAAGGCTGTCCGAGCCGTGGACTGAGCTAGGAAGGCGGTCTTCAAAGTCCAGCAGGTACTGAGGTTTATAGTAGTCAGGCATGTAGGGGGCCAGGTCCAAGTAAGGGGCATCCTGAGGAAAGAGTGGAAAAGGGGATGTTTGGTGGGAGCCCCATGTGGGCTAGAAAACATGGTCTTCCTTGAACTGGAGACTGACTCTGAAGGACTGGGAGCCACCGATGGGCCACATTGTACCCTCCTGTGCTAGTTTCTCTTTGGGAAATTCATAAGCTTAAGGTAAGAAATTCTGAAAGAAGCTGCTAAAAAAAGAGTAATCTGACTGGTCCTGGCTTTTAAAATTATGTGCGCCTGGTTGACAGCAGTCACAGAATGACCAGAACCCAAACTGCCCTCTGACGCCACCTCAAACTGTCATTAGTAGGGTTGCTCATTTTCTTTCATTGCTCCTGCTAGCCAAATTTCATCTTCAGTCCATGTCGCTGGGGTAGGGACTAAGGAAGGTAATTTATTAGGAGGGGGCAGCTGCATCCGTCTTGTCTTGGTTCTTTGGAGACTCTTCAGCCCTTTCTGGGAGAACATCATATCCTACAGTGTGGGAGAGGTTGAAGACAGTGGCCGAGAGAGGAAGTCAACTGGGGAACATGGAACCCGTGACACCTGCTAGAATCTCACAAAGTACAAGAACCTTGTCCTCAACATGAAGGTGAACACTTCAGTGCAAAAACGCTCCAGGCAATGTGCCTTTTCTCTGAGTTGGGAGAAAGAGATAAAGAAGCTGCCCAGAACCAGCAGTTCTGGCCAGAAATGAGCCAAAGAGAATCACCATCCTTCATTCACTTCAGCTGTTCAGGCCGTTGAAACCCTTCTCTGACCTAGACATATGGGGCATGGAAAAATGAGACCACCACCCACTCTGTCCTCTCGTCTGCTCCCACAAGCAGCCCTGCTGTGGTATCTCACCAGATCTAGGTCGAACCGGATGAACTCTAGCCCAGACACCAACGTCAGGAACAGAGTCAGGTGATCATGGCTGCAGACCAGGGCGTTCCTGCAAGACACAAGGAGGGACACACAGGGAGTTTGGGGTCTGGTTACCGGTTTGACCCAACCTCACAGTGTTGAAATTTGTCACGTGACATCCCCATTCTTGGACTGCACCCAGCCTCATCCAGTCTTCATCCAGCCCTTTCTGGCATTCTCTCCTTGTGGGGTGGAGCCACACTGCCAGTGTTCAGTTATGGAGCTGGGAGCATGCAGCTCCCCTGACTCTCAGCTGCTGCTAGAAATACTCTGCTCCTGCAGTAGCCCCAGAAAAGGTTGTGCCAAAGGGGTGTGTGCATTTTAGACCGCTCCCAGGCTTGCAGCCCCAAGGGCCTCACACACAGAGCCTATGGGAAACACCAGCCTTCCTGGCAAAAGCCATCAGACTGGCTGGTGAGGCTCTAATAGGTCTTGGGCCATCACTGTCGTGCCCTCAGCATGCAAGGCCAGGCTGGGCCACACTGGGGCACCCTGGGAGTTATGTGTGTGACAAGAGTCTCTGGGATGACGCTCTAAGGGAGCACTAAGCTCCGTGAGGCAGGCACTCACTTGACATAGTACTTGTGCAGTAGGCTCAGGTTCTCCTGGAACAGCCGCAGGTAGCTCTCTAGCGAGTTCTCATTGAGGGCCAAGTACAGCCAGGCCCGGCCTGCGGACAAAGGGTAGGATAACTGGAAGGGAGGTCATTAGGGCACTGGCCTTTTGGTTTTTTGGCCGAGCAAGGGCAGAAAGGAGAGAAAGAACAGGTGAGGGGACTGGGTACTCCAGCAGTCTTCTCCTTTGATGGAGTAATACAATCCCTAAAATATTTTTTTTTTTCTGCCAGACCCCAGCCTGCAGCTGGCCAGGAAACTCTATTGATAAAGAGGGCAGACTGCAAACTTCAGATGGGTTGAGAAATACAAGGTGTCCTCCTGGACCCTGTAGGCTAGCATTCACCCCAGCTCAGGGATCCTCCTTATGTGCTCGGGCTAGAATGCAATAGAGCCCATCCCTCTTCATCCTCTCTGGCTCCCTTTGGACCCATCACTGATGTACCAATGAGTTCCCATATACAGGGAGGAGAGGAGCTGGCATTCTGACACCCCAACACCACTGCAAAGCACAAAGTTTTCAGCCTCCCAGGGCTGACCTTGATGTCAAACCCAGGCCCCGAGCTACCCACGGGAGGGCGGGGCTGGTCCCTTCCCCAGGGTTCCCCTGTAACTACTCACTGCGCCCCAGGTTGGTGGCCACATGCTGCAACACCTCGATCTGCTTGATGGCTTCTCTCCGGGTGAAATGTACCACGAGCACCCAGTAGCCAGATGAGAGGTCCTGCAGTCTGAGAAAATGGGACAGGAGCTGCTATGTGTGGTGCCAGTGGGGCCACCCTGGGAAGCTGCAGGAAGTTGGTCTACCACCTTCCTGTCAGTAGTAAGCTCAGGGCTGAAAGCAACGTACTTCCAGAGACCCCAGAGACAACCACCATGCCTCAGACCATGCTTGCATTTGCAATTGATTTTCTCCTCCATCATTTGTGCTGGAGACAATTTACTGGGATAGCTAACAGAAAGCCTATGGCTCAGTCGGGTGAGACAAGTCCCTTTTCACTAAGAGACAGGAGAAACAAAAGGTGGACAAGGCTAGGGATTTCTCTCTGGTGGCCACTCAAGCCCTGGCCAGGCCCTGTTGTCCCTACATGGTCTCCAGAAATGATCTCCAACTTACCCATAGAGTAGGGCGTGGTCCAAGTGCTCACACAGTCGCTGCAGAACCTTATCATGGTTCCGGATGGCGGGGGTCTCATCCTCACAAGCAGCAAAGTAGCTCTGTAGCTGAAACACAGAATAAATAGCACCCTAAATTAGACACGGCTTAAGAGAAAGGTTACTGAAGTCTGTCATCAAGAAGTGCCTGGCAACCTAAGACAGAGCCATTGCCATGCTGCAATGAGTTTCGATGACGGATAAGACTGAGGAATTCGCACTGACTGCCTAAGACAGGCAGCGTCCCTTAAACAAATAATAAATAAGGGGGAATCTGATATAGACCGTGCAGACCCGGTCAGGAGTTCAAGGCCCTGTGGGCCCAAGCATTGCTGACCATCCAAACCACAGGCTCTGAGGATCAGACTTTAGCCACCTAGCAGACATAGCAAAATGTCCCTTATCTGATTATTCAGTTATGCTGGTTAGTAATTTCATACATGAGCCCTGGATACCCACAGATAAATGTAAAAACCTTCCCTAAAAGCCGAGACTGTAAATTCCAAAAAGGCAAAGTTTTTCCCAAAAAAAGAAAACCTAAAGAGGATAGAGAGAAACTCTGTTAACTGATGGTAGGTGGAGGAGATTATAATCAATGTAATGAAACAAGGTATATGAATGTTTGAATGTAAAACCGATGATGTGCCCTGAAAACTTTCACTCAATCCACAATAAAAACCTTAAAAAAAAAAAAAAAGAAGTGCCTGGGACTGATTGTGAGGGTTGGAAATGTAAAGGTAGACGTTTTATAGCAAGGAGGGGAGTGATTAACTTTTCAGTCTAGGAGCGGAGATCCCTAGGACCATCAATGGAGAAGAGCAGAGAGCAGGACCCTACCCAGAGAAGCAGTGATGCCTGAGATGGAGGCAGAGACGATGACGTAGAGAGATGGAGCAGCTGGGGACTTTAGATCCAGAGAGGGAGAGCGACTGTGTGCTGAAGATCTGGGGGGCACGGGGGAAGGATTGCATGGAGGGGATTTTAACCATGGCAATGAGATGATATATGATAGAATTAATGTAAAACTAAAGTTCTCCCATGTAAACTATCACATAATTCACAATAAAACATTAAAAAAAAAAAAAAAAGAAGTGCCTGGGACATAGTCTGAAGAGGGGATATACTGTTAAAATGTTTGTCTGTGAATATTGGTTTCCCTTGCCTACTATTGTAAAATAGACACTTGAGTGGGACAGAAAGGAATATCAGGAAATATGATTACAGAAAGCCTATAAACCTGTCTTCAGCCTATCACTGACTGAATACCTAAAAGGGGTTCTAGAACTTGCCCAGTGAAATAGGCTTCTTGCGGAGCCTTTGTAGTGTACAGGATCTCAGGTGGAATCCTGAGCCCTATCCAGAATCTTCTGAGGTGGGACACTCCCATTAGAAAGGACAAGCATACCAGCCTGGTACAACTAGAGCAACAGAAGATACTTCTTGAAATAAAGACCAGTAGGAAAAATGTAAAACAAAAATGGCAGTCTGATTAGCTACCACAAGAACAAGCAAGTTGTTTGCTAGGGAGCCATCAAGGCAAGCAACCAAGTCCCTTCAGGGCAAACCTCTCTCTAAGACTGACACTCAAAGGGAACACATGAGCAGGCATGTAAGCTTGCTGGCAACCACATTGGTCTACTGGTGAGTGGAAGGGCAGCAATGAAGAAATGGGCTGAGTTCAACCACATTCCATAAACTCCTGTTGACCTGGAGATGAGAAAAGAGGTTGGTTCAAAGTGTGGTGAGACCTGGGGACTCCTGAGCCCATGGACAAGGACATAGCCACAGAGGGCTAGAGCAGAGAGTGAAGCATCCAGTTGATATAGCGAAGGGAGACACACAAGAATGCCCAAACTTGTAGACAGTACCCATTCAACCTAGCCTCGATGGCTTGATAATCAGAACTTGACTAGAGGAAAATTGAAAAACACATACAATTTTTGATACAGGAAACAAGTATAAATTGCTACAATTTGATAAACCTGACCTATACTTATGGATGTAGTAGCTCAAAATACCAACGGAGAGAGAAGGATACTTCACATCAGGTATCAATGTTATCCCCTCTGTATACAGGGTTGATAAGGAATGGCAACTTAGACATTGGCTACCTAAAATGAGGTAGTGATAAAGGTACTAAGTGACTGGCTTACAAGTTTTCAATAGGGAGTTCAGTTTAAAAATGTGCGGGGCAAGGTAGAGTCCCCACTGAATAGTTCTCATCTTGTCTAGATGGGTCTGGTTAAAAGAGATAAGGATAATATTCTTATGATCCAATTGTTATTGTTATATGCCATCGAGTCGGTTCCGACCCATAGCGACCCTGTACAGGGTTTCCGAGGGTGTAAATCTTTATGGGAGCAGAAAGCCTCATCTTTCTCCCGCAGAGCAGCTGGTAGTTTCGAACCGCTGACCTTAAGGTTCGCAGCCCGATTCGTAACCACCACGCTACCAGAGCTAGTTATTATCATGACTAATTGCAACCATCACAACTGTAAGGTAGAAGTTGTGTAACAAAAAGGGAGAAGTAGTTAACCTTACAGTCCAGGAACAAAGGACCCTAGGACCATCAAGGGAGAAGAGCATGAGTGGACTGTGGGACCCTATCATCCATAGAAGCAGCAACACCAGAGATGGAGGCAGAGATGATGACATGGAGAGACAGAACAGCTGAGGACTCTAGACTCACAGAAAGAGAAAGGCTGTGTACTGGCGGCCAGAAGGCTGGCTTGCAGAATGTGCCCTTAAGTTGTTTAATTTATTATATATTCCTGAGTGTTTCTGTGTTGTTGTTGTTGTTGTTGTCGTTGTTGTCAGGTGCCATCGAGTCGGAACCGACTCATAGCGACTCCATGCACAGCAGAACGAAACAATGTTCGATCCTGTGTTGTTGTTAGGTGCCATCAAGTCAGTACCAACTCATAGTGACCCTATGCACAGCAGCACGAAACACTGCCTGATCCTGGGCCAATCTCACTACTGTTGCCATGCTTGAGTCCATCAATGCTGTTAATCCATCTCGTTGGGGGTCTTCCTCTTTTTCTCTGACCCTCCACCTTACCAAACATGATGTCCTTGTCCAGTGAATGGTCCCTCCTGACAATATGCCCGAAGTATGAGAGACGAAGTTTGGCCATCTTGGCCTCCAAGGAACACTTTGGCTGCATTTCTTCCAAAACGGATCTATTGGTTCTTTTGGCAGCCCATGTTTTTGTGACTATCCCCCCCAAAACAAACAAACAAACAAAAACAGGGAACAGAAGCAAATACTGTTGAACGGCGATGCACGGAGGTGATGGTAATCAACCATTGCAATGAAACAATGTGTGTAAATCCAATGTTCTCCCATGTAAACTATCACTCAAGTCACAATAAAAACTTAAAAAAAAAAAAAAAAAAAAGTGCCCGGGAAACACACTCAAATGATGCTATTTGTTCTGTTCAGTGAAGAAGCTGACCTCAAATTGTTCCTGCACCCACTGCTTATGTTACATTGGAGGTTCCAGAGAAGCACAGTAAGAGCTTTTCATAGTGACAACTTGATGATATACAGGAGTTTGAAGTCCAAGTGTAGGTCTAAGGTGGCACTGGGCTTGGGGCCAGGGCTCCACAACTCCAGGAGACACTACATATAGTGCTGTCTAGATCAATGGCAACCCCCCTCGCCCAATGCCCAATGTGAGTGTCCCCCAGTCCAGAGTTTATACAACACAATGGAGCGGCCCCTGTGCACATGGTGAGGGTGCATTGGGCTGGGGCGCCTGTTCCAAGAGGCTTCTTGCCTCCTGCAGCTGACATGGGACACCGGGTTTGCCTGAGGATCCTGGAAAGGCTTGGATCTGGGTATGTGCCAGGCTCATGCCAAACCCTACACCAAGAAAGACACTGTTCCCAGGATGGACTGATAAAGAGGGATTTGGGCAGTAGTGAGATGAACTGCAGCACAAACACCTCAGGCTGATGGAAAGAGCAGTTCCCTCAGCTTCATTAACGTGAAGACAGCCCAGAAACTCAGCTTGAGTTCTATGCTTCACAGTGAAGTAAAGCTTTAGGGGAAAGTCTCCAACTTCAAGATGGCTGTGTTCTTGTCTGTTGTTGCCCTCCCAACCCAGAAGCAGGGGAGGGGACATGAGAAAAGAGCACACAGGTGCCTGCACACTGCTCCTGGGTCTAAACTCCTGCAAGCAGAGGTAGAGGGGGAACAGCAGGCTAGAGACATCAACCACACCAACAAGCACGCGCTCCTGGAGAGAAGCCAACCATTCAGTGCCTACAACAAAAATAGCCTCTCTTCTTTGGAGCCCAGGGCAAAGCCCAGTAGCCCTGCAGGCCTGGCCTGCCAGAGACAGACCTCAATCTTGCAGGGTCTGCCCTTCCTCCCAGGAGGAGGGCAAGTCAGACCACTAGGAAGAAAGCTTTCCATAATGGAAAGCAAAGAGCAGTCAGCCTATGAATTAGCATATTTCCCTCTCAGCCATGACCAAAGGCATTCTCTCTCTCTCACACACACACCAGAATTAAAAACAACAATGTCACCTGTTGGCATCAAGTTTTTTTTTTTTGCTGTTGTTGTTTTTTAATTTTAAATTCAAAGTACATGTGGGATCAGAGTCTTAGGTGTTAGAATTGGGAGGCCCTTAGAAATCTAGTCTAATGAACTCATTAAAAGGACAACAAAGTCTTTTTAATTTTCTTGATTATAAAAGCAGTCATACCCACCACTTGGAAAATACACGAAATGATTCACACATTCATTCCTTCATAAACAGAGACAGTGGCCAAAGCCAAGAGAGGCTACATCCTCACTACAATTTTTTTTAGCTAAGTAATGTAACAGTGGCTGAGATCAAGGCCCCTTCCTCAGGCCAAGATAAGTTGGAAAAAAAAAAAAGTCTGACAATCACATCTGCTGATTGTCTGAAGTCTAAAACCCTCCTGCCTTCTCATCTAGACTCCACTGTCAACAGCTTGAAGTGTATCCCCGCAACATGTCCTGCACACACAGACACATGCTTTTTATAGAAAAGGCAAATGGAATCATGCTTTACTTATTATTCTGAAACTTGACT